GGACCAGAGACCAGACCAGGACCAAGACCAGGACCAAGGACCAGGACCAGGACCAGGACCAGACTAACCAGACAGAACACTGCAAAGACCAAAAGACCGGGGTTAGACCAGGACCAGGACCAGGACCAGACCAGGACCGAGGACCAAGACCGAGACCGAGGACCAGGACCAGGACCAAGACCAGGACCAGGACTAAACCAGACAGAACCACTACAAAGACCAAAGACCGGGGTTAGACCAGGACCAGACCAGGACCAGGACCAAGACCAGACCAGGACCAGGACTAAACCAGACAGAACTACAAAGACCAAAGACCGGGGTTAGACCAGGACCAGGACCAGGACCAGGACCGAGACCAGGACTAAACCAGACAGAACACTACAAAGACCAAAGACCGGGGTTAGACCAAGACCAGGACCAGGACCAGGACTAAACCAGACAGAACACTGCAAAGACCAAAGACCGGGGTTAGACCAGGACCAGGACCAGGACCAAGACCAGGACCGAGAGACCAAGACCGAGACCAGGACCAGACCAAGACCAGACCAGGACTAAACCAGACAGAACACTGCAAAGACCAAAGACCGGGGTTAGACCAAGACCAGGACCAAGACCAAGACCAGGACTAAACCAGACAGAACACTACAAAGACCAAAGACCGGGGTTAGACCAGGGACCAGGACCAAGACCAGGACCAGGACCAGGACTAAACCAGACAGAACACTACAAAGACCAAAGACCGGGGTTAGACCAGGACCAGGACCAAGACCAGGACCAGGACTAAACCAGACAGAACACTACAAAGACCAAAGACCGGGGTTAGACCAAGACCAGGACCAAGACCAAGGACCGAGACCAGGACCAAGACCAGGACCAAGACCAGGACCAAGACCAGACCAAGACTAAACCAGACAGAAACACTACAAAGACCAAAGACCGGGGTTTCACAGACCAAGGACCCAAGACCAAGACCAAGACCAGGACCAAGACCAGGACCAAGACCAGGACCAGGACCAGGACCAGGACCAGGACTAAACCAGACAGAACACTATCAAAGACCAAAAGACCGGGGTTAGACCAAGACCAGGACCAAGACCAGGACCGAGACCAGACCAAGACCAGGACCAAGGACCAAAGACCAGAGACCAGGACCAGACCAGGACCACCAGACCAAACCAAGACAGAACACTACAAAGACCAAAGACCGGGGTTTAGACCAGACCAAGACCAGGACCAAGACCAGAGACCAGGACTAAACCAGACAGAACACTACAAAGACCAAGAGACCGGGGTTAGACCCAAGACCAGGACCAAGACCAGGACCAAGACCAAGGACCAGGACCAAGGACCAGACCAAGGACGACCCAAGACCAGGACCAAGACCAGACCAGACCAGGACCAAGACCAGACCAAGACCAAGACAAGGACCAAGACCAGGACCAGAACCAAGACCAGGACCAAGACCAGGACCAAGACCAGGACCAAGACCAGGACCAGGACCAGGACCAAGACCAGGACCAAGACCAGGACCAAGACCAGGACCAGGACCAAGACAAAGACCAGGACTAAACCAGACAGAACACTACAAAGACCAAAGACCGGGGTTAGACCAAGACCAGGACCAAGACCAGGACCGAGAGACCAAGACCAGGACCAGGACCAAGACCAGGACCAAGACTAAACCAGACAGAACACTACAAAGACCAAAGACCGGGGTTAGACCAAGACCAGACCAAGACCAAGACCAGGACCAAGACCAGGACCAAGACCAGGACCAAGACCAGGACCAAGACCAAGACCAAGGACCAGGACCAGGACCAGACAGACACTATAAAGACCAACAGACCAGACCAGACCGGGGTTAGACCAAGACCAGGACCAAGACCAGGACCGAGACCAAGACCAAGACCAGGACCAGGACCAAGACCAGGACCAAGACCAGGACCAAGACCAAGACCAAGACCAGGACCAGGACTAAACCAGACAGAACACTACAGAGACAAGACCGGGGTTAGACCAGGACCAGGACCAGGACCAAGACCAAGACCAGGACCAGGACTAAACCAGATAGAACACTACAGAGACCAGAGACAAGACCGGGGTTAGACCAGGACCAGGACCAGGACCAGGACCAGGACCAGGACTAAAACCAGACAGAACACTACAGAGACCAGAGACAAGACCGGGGTTAGACCAGGACCAGGACCAAGACCAGGACCAGGACCAGGACTAAACCAGACAGAACACTACAGAGACCAAAGACCGGGGTTAGACCAGGACCAGGACCAAGACCAGGACCAGGACCAGGACTAAACCAGACAGAACACTACAGAGACCAAAGACCGGGGTTAGACCAGGACCAGGACCAAGACCAGGACCAGGACCAGGACTAAACCAGACAGAACACTACAGAGACCAAGACCGGGTTAAACCAGGACCACCAGACCAAGACCAGGACCAGGACTAAACCAGACAGAACACTACAGAGACCAAGACCGGGGTTAGACCAGGACCAGGACCAGAACCAAGACCAGGACCAGGACTAAACCAGACAGAACACTACAGACCAAGACCGGGGTTAGACCAGGACCAGGACCAAGACCAGGACCAGGACTAAACCAGACAGAACACTACAGAGACCAGAGACAAGACCGGGGTTAGACCAGGACCAGGACCAAGACCAGGATCAGGACCAGGACCAGGACTAAACCAGACAGAACACTACAGAGACCAGAGACAAGACCGGGGTTAGACCAGGACCAGGACTAAACCAGACAGAACACTACCAGAGACAAGACCGGGGTTAGACCAGGACCAGGACCAGACCAGGACCAGGACCAGGACAGGACCAGGACCAGGACTAAACCAGACAGAACACTACAGAGACAAGACCGGGGTTAACCAAGACCACCAAGACCAAGACCAGGACCAGGACTAAACCAGACAGAACACTACAGAAACCAGAGACAAGACCGGGGTTAGACCAGGACCAGGACCAAGACCAGGACCAGGACTAAACCAGACAGAACACTACAGAGACAAGACCGGGGTTAGACCAGGACCAGGACCAAGACCAGGACCAGGACCAGGACTAAACCAGACAGAACACTACAGAGACAAGACCGGGGTTAAACCAGGACCAAGACCAAGACCAGGACCAGGACTAAACCAGACAGAACACTACAGAGACCAGAGACAAGACCGGGGTTAGACCAGGACCAGGACCAAGACCAGGACCAGGACTAAACCAGACAGAACACTACAGAGACCAGAGACAAGACCGGGGTTAGACCAGGACCAGGACCAGGACCAAACTAGACAGAACACTACACACACAGACCAGACCAGAAACCAGAGTCAGACCAAGACCAGGACTAAACCAGGACTGAACCAGACAGACACTACAGACTAGAGCCTGACCGATATTATCGGCTGATATGCTTGCTGATAGGGGCCGATATTTCACGTGGGCAGGTGATACGTCGTTATAAATCATAGACTCTCTACATTCTGTTCATTAATCCAATTTACAGACAGATAAATGTCCAAATATGTGGCTCCACATCAGTATTTATCTGTGGAGTCATTTGTCTGTGTGTGTGTGTGTGTGTGTGTGTGTGTGTGTGTCGTACTGTCCCTGAACACACCACAGAGTCATGTGTGTTTGTTTACACTCACAGACATAGATCCATATGCAACACTGACATTATTTTTACGGACAATCGGTTTGAGTCTGGATTAAAAGGACATTTATTAGTTCAGACTTGTGATGTGGGAGGAGCCTGTGTGTGTGTGTTATTAGTTCAGACTTGTGATGTGGGAGGAGCCTGTGTGTGTGTGTTATTAGTTCAGACTTGTGATGTGGGAGGAGCCTGTGTGTGTGTGTTATTAGTTCAGACTTGTGATGTGGGAGGAGCCTGTGTGTGTGTGTGTTATTAGTTCAGACTTGTGATGTGGGAGGAGCCTGTGTGTGTGTTATTAGTTCAGACTTGTGATGTGGGAGGAGCCTGTGTGTGTGTTATTAGTTCAGACTTGTGATGTGGGAGGAGCCTGTGTGAGGCTGAGTGTTGGAAATATGTCGACTTTGAAGCTAGTTTTGGTTAGTGATGATCTGAATTACCGCGACGTGCAGCATTTACGGCTAAAGGCTAATAGTGATTGTTTATTTACTCGCTAGTAGTGATGGTCGGTCGTGAACGAATCGGCTCCGGCTCTTTGAAGCGAACAGCGGGAGCCTGATCCTTATTGGGAGCCGTGTTTTCTCTTTCTCTCACTTTTTTTCTCTTCACGTCGCGTTCAGACTCGTGGGAGTTTGACAGCGGCAGCGGCTCAAAACGAAACTTTCAAAAATATGTGTGTGGATAAGAGAGAAAAAACGTGCATAAAATAAATAAATAAACCAGGACTAATCTTGGGCTCGAGAGACGGAGAGAGACAGAGACTGAGTTCCGACACTCAGTCCTGGTTCAGTTCTGGTTTAGTCCTGTTTTACACATAGTTCAGATCTGTTTTAGTCCTGGTTTAGTGCTGTTTCAGTCCTGGTTCAGTTCTGGTTTAGTCCTGCTTTAGACCTGTTTTAGACCTATGACACATCATGTAAAGAGGCAGAAGAACAATAAATGTTTCCTAAATAAACCCAGGTTAAAATCCACCAGAGCCAAAAGTTTTTTTTTAAATAATTCAAGATTTACATCACAAAATATATCGGCGATTATATCGGCAGCTCCTGCTCCCATTATATCGATATCATATCGGCCACAACAAAATCCATATCGGTCGGGCTCTACTACAGACCAGAGACCACAGACCAGGACTAAACCAGAGTCAGACCCACACCAAGACTAAACCAGGACTAAATCAAGACTAAACCAGGTCTAAACCAGGACTAAACCAGGACTAAAACAGGAAACAGGACTAAAACAGGACTAAATCAGGGTCAGACAGAGACCAGGACTAAACCAGGACTAAACCAGGACTAAACCAGGACTGAACCAGGACTGAACCAGGACTGAACCAAGACTAAACCAGGACTAAACCAGGTCTAAACCAGTGCAGTTTGGTCTGTACAATGTTGTGATCTGGACTTCATTTCCCATGAGCACTCACGGCTGCTCTGCTCCGGCGTCAGGACTTGGACCAGGATCTCGTCCGTGGCTGTGAGTCCGTGAGAGTCCGTCACTGTGAGCTGGAACCAGTAAGACCCGGACCCAAGACCAGAGACCCGGACCTGATCTGGGTACTCTGTCGTCTGTGGAGAGAAAACACAGAACTAAACCAGGACCGAAACAGGACTAAACCGGGACTAAACCGGGACTAAACCAGGACTAAACCAGGACTAAACCAGGACTAAACCAGGGTCAGACTGAGGCCAGGACCGGGACTAAACCGGGACTAAACCGGGACTAAACCAGGGTCAGACTGAGGCCAGGACCAGGACTAAACCAGGACTAAACCAGGGTCAGACTGAGGCCAGGACCGGGACTAGACCGGGACTAAACCGGGACTAAACCGGGACTAAACCAGGGTCAGACTGAGGCCAGGACCAGGACTAAACCGGGACTAAACCGGGACTAAACCAGGGTCAGACTGAGGCCAGGACCGGGACTAAACCGGGATTAAACCGGGACTAAACCGGGACTAAACCGGGACTAAACCAGGGTCAGACTGAGGCCAGGACCAGGACTAAACCGGGACTAAACCGGGACTAAACCGGGACTAAACCGGGACTAAACCGGGACTAAACCAGGGTCAGACTGAGGCCAGGACCAGGACTAAACCAGGACTAAACCAGGACTAAACCAGGGTCAGACTGAGGCCAGGACCAGGACTAAACCAGGACTAAACCAGGACTAAACCAGGACTAAACCAGGACTAAACCGGGACTAAACCAGGGTCAGACTGAGGCCAGGACCAGGACTAAACCAGGACTAGACCAGGACTAGACCAGGACTAGACCAGGACTAGACCAGGACTAAACCAGGACTGAACCAAGACTAAACCAGGACTAAACCGGGACTGAACCAGAACTAAACCAGGGTCAGACTGAGGCCAGGACCGGGACTAAACCAGGACTAAACCAGGACTAGACCAGGACTAAACCAGGACTAAACCAGGACTAAACCAGGACTAAACCAGGACTAAACCGGGACTAAACCGGGACTAAACCGGGACTAAACCGGGACTGAACCAAGACCAGACCAGGACCAGACCAGGACCAGACCAGGACTCACCTGCATGATGACCGTGCCGTTGCCCCTCAGCAGGGTCCAGCTGTAGTCCGTGATCTCTGCTCCGATGGCGTGGCTCTCGGTTCCGTTCAGGACCACGGTCTCGCCGGGCTGGACCACCAAGTCCCGCCCCCCCACCGCGATCGGCCGCCGCTGCTCACCTGAGTGACATCACACACGCACCTGTCAGGGGCGGAGGTCAGGGGGACAGGTGCAGACAGGTGCAGACAGGGGGCGGGCTTACCTTTTCTGGGCGGGGCCTTCAGGTAGTCCCGGTACAACGGCGCCGTCACGTACGTCAGGTACCCGTCCCGGCTCTGGAACCTGCGGCCAAGAAGGACCTTTTAAATCCAGGTCTACACTGGGACTAAACCGGGACTAAACCGGGTCTATACCGGGTCTATACCGGGTCTATACCGGGTCTATACCGGGACTAAACCGGGACTAAACCGGGTCTATACCGGGACTAAACCGTGACTAAACCAGGACTAAACCAGGTCTAAACCAGGTCTAAACCAGGTCTAAAACAGGACTAAACCAGGTCTAAACCAAGACTAAACCAGGTCTAAACCAGGACTAAACCAGGACTAAACCAGGTCTAAACCAGGACTAAACCAAGACTAAACCGGGACCAAACCGGGACTAAACCGGGACTAAACCAGGACTAAACTGGGACCAAACCATGACTAAACCAGGACTGTACCAGGTCTAAACCAGGACTGTACCAGGTCTGAACCAGGACTAAACCAGGACTGTACCAGGTCTGAACCAGGACTAAACCAGGACTAAACCAGGACTAAACCAGGTCTAAACCAGGACTCACCTGTTGCAGACGAAGCGGTTTCTGTAGACGCAGTCGAACAGTGCGCATGCGCCGTTGGGCTCCACGAGCGCGAGGTTACACAGCGGGTCTTCGCAGCACGCGCGCTCGCACTCCTCCGGGTTCTGCGCATGCGCTGTGTTCAGCAGCACCGCGCCCTGTTTCACCGCCTCCTCCGCGTCCAGCACGAAGTCCGCGCGGTATCCGTCCGCACAGGCCGCGTCTGCCGCGCCGCCGCGCCGCACCGCGACCACGAGCGGCAACACGCGCAGGACCAACAGCAGCATCGGACTCACCGGGGGCCGCGGGTAGACCGGGTTTAGACCGGGTTTAGACCGGGTACAGTCTAGGTTTAGTCCGGGATTAGACCAGGTACAGTCTAGGGTTAGTTCAGGTACAGTCCTGGTTTAGTCTTGGTTTAGTCCTGGTTTAGTCCTGGTCTGGACGTAGTTTGATCGGAGAATGATTCTGGTTTCAGCTGTAGAAGGTTCTCATTTAGACCTGGTTTAGTCCGCGTCTAGTCCGCGTTTCGTCCAGATTTATCCCTGCTTTAGTCTCTGGTTTATTCCGGCTTTGATCCTGGTTTAGTCCTGGTTTTGTCCTGGTTTTGTCCTGGTTTAGTCCTGGTTTAGTCCCTGCTGTGTCGCTCTCAGGTGTGTCTCACCTGCTGAAAACAGGAAGAACCACGTCTTTTCTCACGCCCTGCGGTCACGTGACTCTCGTGAAGCACGTTTACTCTGAAGTACTCTGAAGTACTCTGTAGTACTCTGTAGTACTCTGAAGTACTCTGTAGTACTCTGTAGTACTCTGGAGTACTCTGTTGGTGTGGTTTTACGTCAGCGAGCCTCCACAGTGATAAACACAGTAGTAATAATAACAGTGTTATAAAGGCTCCTCGAGCTCCTGTCACGTGCTGATGAGAGCGCGAGGCAACATACGGGTCACTGACCACATCAAACACAAACTCAACAGACATGATGTCGCCCGTTTGTGCTGCAAAAAGTTTTGTTTGTGCTGCTTTAGTTTTGGACATTTTAACGATTCTTTTACAGGTCAAACTGGGGTCAAATTTAAATTAGGTATTAGATATAACAAATTTATATCTTGCATCTATGTTTATATCAAATCTAAAAGCTCAAGATGTAAAAGAATCACTGTCCATTCCTCGTGTCATTGCGCCATCTCGTGGACAAAAAACGCAACAGCAGAAAATGAAGTTCGTTTTAATGTTTTTATTTGACAATTGTTCACGGACAATAATAATTAAATACTCATCTGTTTAATGACTAAGATAAAGATAAACACGCTGACGTGGATCACAAATGTTTGTATAAATCTAGAATTGAGTTATAGTTATAATAATCCCACCAAACTAAATAACAACAAAAATAAAGAAAACGGAGTTTAATGAATGAATGACGTCACAGAGAGTGTGAAAGAGTGAGGTTTATTCAAACACAAAAACACCATTTATCTGCAGAAAAACTTTATCAGTCACCAATATTTACAAAGACATAATCCAATTCCCAAAATGAAGTTAGGAATGCTCGTGTATTTATCAGTTCCCTTTATTAGTTTTGCTTTATTTTATTTTTATCGTTTTTATTTATTTATTTATTTTTCATGTATGTTATGAATTTGAATGTATATGTGTGTTATAGTTAAAATAAAATAAAATATTCAGACACAAATGAAGCTGTTTTAAAACCACAGTAAAAAAAACAACAACAAAAAAACTCCTCCAGACTCACAGCCGCGCGCGCTGCTGCCCCCTGCTGGGCTGAACAACAAACAACTGTTAGTAACAATATGGTCCTGGTTTAGTCCTGGTTCAGTCCTGTTTTAGTCCTGGTTTAATCCTGGTGTAGTCCTGGTTTAGTCCTGTTTTAGTCCTGGTTTAGTCCTGTTTTAGTCCTGGTTTAATCCTGGTGTAGTCCTGGTTTAGTCCTGTTTAGTCCTGGTGTAGTCCTGGTTTAGTCCTGTTTAGTCCTGGTGTAGTCCTGGTTTAGTCCTGGTTTAGTCCTTGTGTAGTCCTGGTGTAGTCCTGTGTTTAGTCCTGGTTTAGTCCTGGTTTTAGTCCTGGTTGTAGTCCTGGTGTAGTCTGGTAGTCCTGGTGTAGTTGTAGTCTGGTTTAGTCCTGGTTTAGTCCTGGTTTAGTCCTGGTTTAGTCCTGGTGTAGTCTGGTTTAGTCCTGGTTTAGTAGTCCTGGTTTAGTCCTGGTTTAGTCCTGGTGTTTAGTCCTGGTTTAGTCCTGGTTTAGTCCTGGTTTAGTCCTGGTTTAGTCCTGGTTTAGTCCTGGTTTAGTCCTGGTGTAGTCCTGGTTTAGTCCTGGTTTAGTCCTGGTTTAGTCCTGGTTTAGTTCTGGTTTAGTACCTTGTAGTAGTGGTGGAGGAGGATGGTGGAGATGAGGATGATGAAAAACGCAACTCCAGCTCGAATCACGAGGTGAAAGTTTGGAACTACAACAAAACAAAACAAGAAGATCACACAACACAGGACGGGCAGTAGTAGTAGTCATAGTAGCAGTAGTAGTAGTAGTAGTAGTAGTAGTAGTAGTAGCAGTAGTAGTAGTAGTAGCAGTAGTAGTAGTAGTAGTAGTAGTAGTAGTAGCAGTAGTAGTAGTAGTAGTAGTAGTAGTAGTAGTAGTAGTAGTAATAGTAGTAGTAGTAGTAGTAGTAGTAGTAGTAGTAGTAGTAGTAGTAGTAGTAGTAGTAGTAGTAGTAGTAGTAGTAGTAGTAGCAGTAGTAGTAGTAGCAGTAGTAGTAGTAGTAGTAGTAGTAGTAGTAGTAGTAGTAGTAGTAGTAGTAGTAGTAGTAGTAGTAGTAGTAGTAGTAGTAGTAGTAGTAGTAGTAGTAGTAGTAGTAGTAGCAGTAGTAGTAGTAGTAGTAGTAGCAGTAGTAGTAGTAGTAGTAGTAGTAGTAGTAGTAGTAGTAGTAGTAGTAGTAGTAGTAGT